CACACACACACACACACACACACACACACACACACACACACACACACCTCACCCTGCCTGAGAGTCTGCTGCTGCCCGCCCCCCCGCAGAGCTCACCTCCAAGTGTGTGAGGGAAGAAGCCCCATGAAAAGCCGATTGCGTTTTAATAAAGTTTATTATCTGCAGGGAGCTAATCCTCAAGGGTAATCTCCCCCCTCTAGTCCTAAAGGAAAGCTGGATTACTCACTTGCTATAATCCCAATGAAATTGTTAGGATTTAGCTTGCGCTGCACAGCAGATGGCAACAGGCTTTTTCCTTCAACCTTGGGTGCTTTAACCCCCCATTTCTACATGAGACACCCCGGTCCTCCTTGTCTCATGTCCTGGTCGTCTTGGTCAAAACAAAAAACAAAAAGAAAGTTGTTTTTGCCAAACCCGCAATGAATAACATCTGGGAGGTTCTCGAAACATGTTTTGATATCCGAGTCAATACAGACAGGAACGAGGTTTTCCCCTTCTCTGTACATTCATGTTATTTGGTGAAAAGAAAGTGATATAATAAGTAATAACTTCAACTGCCTTAACAAATGACTGTCCTTATCAAAAATAATTTTATTGATTCAGACAGAGGCAAAGAAGCAAACAGAACAACACAGTGTTTTTGAGACGACCATGCCAAGGCTTTACATCATGGACAAAGGCCAAAAACAAATCCTGCTTATTCTAAAACCTCGTCCAGTGTGAACATATGCGACGCTGGCTCCACAACACTTCATAAACAACCAGAGTAGTAGTTGTGTGGACTCAGCAGTGTGATGTAATATTCAATGAAGTGTCATAACGCTCGGTGTCATGGACAGTAAACCACCTCAAAAGGAGCTGAACAACAAAAGGCTGATCCGCTCTCCTCTGGGGAAAGTTAGTGTGGACCTGCTGGTCCAGTCACAGTATTCAACAATATGATCCAACTGTCAGGCCTACAACAAACCCACAACCCATTTATGTCTAAGTATTAAAAGAAATGCAGAAACATTTAATGTAATACTTGATAAATTGACTCAAACAGAAAGACCTCAATGATTGATTTGAGGGAAAACAGTCTGTAATTTAAGATACAACTGATTTGTTTTTAATCAAAGAATAACCTATTTGAGTATTTAATTCAAATGATTCAAATATTTTTACATGTAAAATATAAAAATTCTGACTGAAAAAAACCCAACATTTAGTCATAGTACACAGAAGTAGTTTAGGAGATCTTGGCCCTATTCAGAGATAGAAAAAACAAATTAACAAATATCCCACTGTAAAGCAACAAAAATCCCTTCGTACAAAAAATGCATTAGTTGCATTTACTTCATACAAATTCTAATCAGTCCCATATTAGGTTCCTCCATCCTCCATAAGCGGTCAAACAAAAATCAAAAATGATTATCCTTAACTTCAAACAGAAACCCACTTATAGAAATATACATCTATATTCACAGACTTTCCATAGTTAAGGTTCTGCCTGAAAAGGCCAGATTAGGTGTAACATTAAATAACTGACCTGATGTTCAAAGATTTGGAAGGTAATCTGCAAATTTTCCCTTTCCCCTTCACTCCATTTAGACACAACACATCCACGACATTCAGGGTAAAGCACGCTGTTGCCTACTTTGGCTGTAGGTAACAGTTAAGTGGACCGCCTAAGATCGCCCTAATCTTGACACATCTCCTTACAGTAACCCGAACCTTAGCCTACATGAACCTAACGACCGTTAATCATTGCCGACTACACTTTGGTTTAGGGTAGGGATAGCTTACCCCGCCGTAACCTGAGGCCTCTTTTGAAGAAAAGACACATGACCAGAAGACTCATGGAGGAAAGGAAATAAAGAATGACACACAGGCTGATGTCCACTTTGGAAAATCCAATGCTCAGTACAGACATCAAACGTCCGCTGTGGCTCAACTCTGTCTCCTCAACAAAGCGCTGGCCTGCCAGTTCTCGCTTCTTTCTCTGCTTCCCCACGTCCAGCTCAAAGTCTGCTTCCATAGGCTGCAGGCCCACCATCCCGAGCCCGGCGTCCAGCTGCATGCCGAGCCCAAACACGGGCCCTGGATCCTGCTCCTCCTTCCTCTGCAGGGTGCGTTGTTTGACCCGGCTGGAGACAGCCACCTGCAGCGCCTTGGCCTTGTAGTGCTGGTTGACAAATGAGTCGAGATCCACGATGTCCTCCTGCAGCTCTCGCATCCTCAAGCCCACAATGCTCGGCTTCCTGTGGGCCTGCCGCCGGCCTCGACCCACTTCCATTTCAGGTTTGGCCCAGGGGGTCGTCTCCGATGTCTTATCCTCCATCTCATCTGCTGCAGCTCCTTCCCCACCTTCTTCTTCTTCTTCTTCTTCTTCTTCCTCTTCCTCCTCCTCCTCCTCCTCCTCCTCCTCCTCCTCGTCCTGCACAGTGGATTGTGATGGCAGAGGGTGCGTCATGGAGTCCAAGGCCTCCCTGGCTTTCCTCTTTACACGTACCTGAGCTTCTAAAGCTTGCTGCTGACTCGCATGTTTTTCCTTCTGTTTTGCCAGGATCTGGCTTTCATCTTCGAGGTAGTCTGACAGGACGACGAAAAGAAAGACACAGGGACATCATTTCTAAAGTCATCACCTCTAATCTAGAATCGGATGCTTTACTTATCATCCTCAATTAATCTGAATCAACGGTGAACCTTACTCCGACTCAGAAACTCTCTTTGCTATTCACTCCTTACAGCAGAAAAAAAGTAATATTATATAGTAGTATTAAAAAAAAACTACTGTCCATAAATTAGAGAAGACGTGATATGATTCAGAGAATAAACCCAATTCAATAGAATTGGGCACTCCCAAATTAAGTATGTTGCAGGGTGAAGTAAAACAAACTAAAACTACATTAAACCCACTAAAAATTAGCAAAATATACCGTACAAGGAATCTGGGTGGTTATGGGTAACAGTGGGATTATCTAGGCCCTTTTTATTTGTTTCACCTGCTGAGAACGGGAGTCTTTTACAACACACCCTTTAGCATTATGTTAAACAGAGCAACAACTGAACCATTGACCATATTTGTATTGACTGTTAACACAGGCAGGTTGACAGAAGAAATACACTTCTGTAGTTTGGTAAAACACTTGAATTCATGAGATACGACCGCTTTCGAAAATAAACTATACCTGTGAGGATAGTGCTGGATGAGAAGTAGGACATGAGGAAGGGAAAAACCTGCTCCTGGCTCCACCTGTGCTCCCCGTTTTCCTTCACCGAATGGCAGGCTGGACACATTTCTGGTGAAGGCCACTGGATCTTTCGGAAGTTGGGGTCTTCACTCAAAGCACCTGCAGAGATGAACACAGAAGTAGGGTTAATGTTTCCCACCACAGATAATATGACGCATTGCTTTACATACCTGTAATACTTAAGAACATTGGCTGCCCATACTCTAAAGTACATTTATGAGTGCAGAAGGTCAACTAAAGAGGCCTATTTTCTTCCACTACTACAGCTTTCTCACATTAACACACTAATAAGTACCTCACTATCTTATAGAAGATAGAAAAAATGTTCCATGGATCCAGATTCATTGTCACATCCAGGAATCACACAACATAAAGCATCCAGTCAGCTGCCTTCACCCATTGTTGTTGTTTCTTTTATTCTCCTTGTTGGTGCATTGACTTGAGGATGTAAGTGCTTTGAGGACTGGACGCAATCTGTGTTGAACCCATTTGATCTTGTCACGGTGCTCGTAAAAACTAAGTGCCTATATGCATATATGTATGTATGTGCTTAAGTGTGTATATGTAAATCATCTTTGTGTTTTTGTGTGCACGTAATCTAGGGATTGATATTTGTGTGTGTGTTTGTGAGAGTGTATGACAGGGTCTAACAAATGATCAATGGGCTTCTGGGATGTCCCAGTGGGAGGGGTGGTGAGATAATAGATGTGGCCAAAGTGGACAGCTTCCCCCCCCACACACACACACACACCTCGTTTTCAGGCAGCAGACCTCGGTGCTCTGGACCACCTGTCTTGTCCCTTCACACCCCTTTGAAAGCAAAGTCCAATCTCCAAATTGAACACGAGAGCAACAGAAACCTCAGAGGGGAGCTGCCCTTTTAATGAATTAGAAACTTTCTCCTTAACATGTTTTCTTTCATGTTGCCGCTGTCCACTCAGGCCCCTCGTCACTCACACACACAACATGGCATCCATGCAAAGAGACTGGCAGAGGAACAGGGGTACACACACAAAATACTCATACACAACAGACACACTCTGCACAAATGCCCACAAGGGGGGACACACACACACACACACACACACACAGGGCAGCATCTAGTAATAAATTGCTTGTTGTCACCAACAGGCCATTGTGTGTGTGTGTGTGTGTGTGTGTGTGTGTGTGTGCGCGAAGAAGGGAAAAAAGGGGAGCAGCAGCAGGTCTGTCACTTTACAGCACTGTCAATTTACATCCTCCACCACCTCTGTCCCTCCTCCCTCCTCCGTCTCTCTGCCGCTCAAGATTAATCTCAGTCATATGCATGTGTGTACGTACTCTGCATACAGTACTTTACATAAAGGATACATCAATTTTACTGTGTCCTGGATGGGCTGAAGCCCGTGGGTGCTTTTACACATTTCAGCAGGTGAGAGCAGACGTGCGCACACACACACACACACACACACACACACACACACACACACACACACACACACACACACACACACGATCTCTTTCCTTATTCTAATCAGCTTGCCACGTTTGCGGCCAGGGTGACTTTAGCCATACCAGCCATATTGAGATTGCCACAATGGCCTGTCACGGAGATGTCATCACCGCCGTGCATACATATTCATCAGGTATACATATGTATTGTTCAGCACGTCAAACTAGCTTCCGCAGCACTAATTCTGTAAGTGAGGATCACCTACACCGCACGGCATACCAAGGCATCAAGGCTGCAGGGGAGTGTGCATGATGTCAGGGTTTTTATGCTCATTTAAATAATCAAAAAAAAATAATCTAAACCAGTAAATCTGTTTATTGTATGACAGATCTAACACTTCTACATTTCCAGTTAATCTAAAACCATCAAAAACAGAAAGCTGGCATTGAATGTGTAGTTTAGTTTATTTGACATTATGAGCAAAAGGAGAGTAAATCAGACACGAGTAAAAGGATTTCAGGGATCTACACACTGGAATTTGCAAGCTTACAGAAATATATACAATGATGCAACATTTCATCCTAAAGGTAGCTGAAGTCCCAGCACAACAGAACTTAAAAAGGCAGAGATTGCCATTTTGGCTTTGAATATGACATTGAGATCATTGAGGCTCTGCTGATATAAATAAATAGTATGTACCACACTGAGATGAGGTGCTCTATTGTTCAAGGGTAACCTTCTGAGCTGTTCGGCATGGCATGGCTGACAGCAGAGGTAATAATGCTGCTGGTTAGTTCCAAAAATGGGACTGACTTTGGTATGGTGGTGGTGCGGTTATAAAAAGGTCAGATCTAGTATTCAAGCAGTGCAACAACACGGTAACAGCAAAACAACACAAACAACACAAACCTATATTTCCATCTCAAGCAGATGTAACCGGTCTAGTACGATGAGTCAGGATTCGCAACAACTGATGCGAGTCCTTAACAACTAAATAAGACCAACTTTGATAAAAACAACTGGACAAATAGTAATTAATAAAGTTATATGATTTTTAAAGAGTGATATGGTATTTCTTATTTATCTCTATATTGTTTTAAATTCAAGAATATCATAATCACATTTTAAGGAAATGGAAACTCATGAACCGTTTTGGCACTAGGATGGAAACATTTCAAGAGGACACCCAGTCTAATAAATACTGGTATGGTATTACTATTCTGCATGAAGAAATGCACAAACTCTGTGCTGCATGTGAACACACAGTCATAAAGGCAGCCGGGCCTGCTGCTGTTTTGTCTGTAGAAATGTGAATCAGTCTCAGCCTGTTGACAAGCAGCAACAGGACTGAGCTGCCGCTGGTCTTAATTCTGCTGCTGCGTAGGAGACCGAGGGCCCTGGGGCCTCTTTGTTGCCAGCTAAATTAATTGTTCGGACGCTTTACAAATAGCTGCTCTTTCATGCATGGCTGCTCCTGAAAGGAGGGGCGGGGAGGCCTGCTAAAGAGCTCCACTTTAGGCAAAGGGGAGAGGAGGGGTTGAGTGGATGGAGGAGTGTGCTCTCCTCGGGGAGACGCCGCCGCTTATTGCTACAAACACAGCCAAACCCCCGTCTCCTCCCTCTCTCTCCTTCCGATTCACCCGACTTATCCCCTGTGGACCCCCGACTCACCCTCCACCATGACGAACGCCCACTGCCACACGCCACAACTTGACCCATGCCTGGAAAGGCTGTGTGCGTGTGTGTGTGTTTGGGAGGGGGAGGGAAGGAGGAGGAGCGTGCATGGCTTGTGTCATGGTGTTTGCCACCTGCTGTCACACAATACCTTGGGAATTGTGTGTGCGCTTGTGTGCGGGTATAAAGAGGGCTGGTTCCTGAGGGACCCATCCAGCGAGGATGCTGTGCCATTACTTGTCAAGCGGAGGATATGAGTCCCAGGGGATGATGAGTGGAAAGAGAGAAAAACTGCAACAGAGGTAGAGGAAGCGAGGGAAGACGGATGGGTGAAGGTGGCGGGTTGAGCAGTGTTTAAGTGTCTGGGGAGCAGACACTCGCAGGGACGGGTGTCCTTCTGGCCCCTGCTGTTCAGGGCACAAGCTGTGCCTGAGATAGAAGAGGGGCCAGTCAACACAAACAAAAGATAGTGATTTAACAAAGTGGGCTGTTAATGACAGCCCTGTGCCTAATGAAATCATATGAACACGGACAAGGGAGGAGGGATGCTGAGGAGCTGTTTAACACTCACGAGACTCATGTGCAGAAGTGTAATATGCCGAAACAGCACGGACAAGAATTAGAGAAAACTTTGTACATTCATATGCAGAGCAAAAAAAAAAAAAAAAAAAAAAAAAAGAAGATAAGTCTGTACTGAGGAGAATCTAAAAAGGGGCATTCTGATGCAAAAAAGGAAAGATGAGAAGATTCTCATTTCTGTGTAAAGCTAAACTAAAAGTTAACAAGTGGGTAATATGCTGCGTTTAAATAGATGACCTGGATGGAAATTCTGACTCATAGATTCCAGGTGACAGTGGGAGGAGAGTGGGGTGTGGGAGAGAATCAAAGTAAGGGTGTGAGACGGATGAAACAAGGCAGAGGGGGGGGTCAGGAGAAAATGGGTGAAGCAGACGATACTTGGAGGTCTAAGACGGGGTGACAGCTGGTGTCTGATCTGAGGATCCATCCTTCCTCCTCCCCTCACCCCTCTTAGTCGCATTACAAAAGACCAACTGACCATTAGAGGACACTGGAACTGAAAATCTTCCCCCCAAAATTGAGTAAGGCAATGCTTAAGATCCCACAGTGTGAACAGGCACAGAAAAGAGGGGAGTGGAAAAGACGTGAGGGACAGGGATGGCTTAGCAAACTAATGCGGCATTCCACTACATGGTACAGCACAGCTCGACTCGCTTGAAATTGTTCTTTTCTTGGTTTTCCATTTACAAAATTTGAGGATAGTACCTGGTACTATTTTTGGTATCACCTCATTCAGGGTCCAAGCAAGCAAAGCGATACAACAAAGGTGGAGTTAAAACACTTCAGACCGTTGATTGGTCAGAGAGATTTGCTTGACATTCTTAAATAGCCATGAGAGCAGTGGTCTTCACTTTAAAGACAAATTGAAATTAAAAATCAAACACACATTCTCTCTCTTCCTGTGTTGGTTGTTTAGTTATATTTAGGTATATGCCAAGACCTCCATTCGACAGACGATGGTGCCGACTCTCACCTGCCAGTCTGTTGTTGACGAGATTGTGTCTCGACCAAAGCCACAGCACCGCTGACGACAACGTGTTCACCTCCACCAAGCTCTCGCTCGCCATGATCTCAAAGTGCTCGGCACACGCCCTGCAGCCAAAGAAGCTGTGGACATAGCTTCTCATCGCACTCAGCACCTCCCGGGGATCTGGAAGGGAAATGCCATCTTATGTTGATCACCAGTAATCTGATCAAACTGAAAAATGTGATGCATTATGTAACAACAAAAACAATATCACAGACTCCTTCCTAACACCAACATTGTTCCATGTCCTGATTAAGTTACTTCATATGTTTTTGTGGCAACATCTTAAGTAATATGGAACTAAAAACTGTGGTTAAAGCTGTAATGAAAAACAGCATGTTTAGAAGAGTACGTCAAAATTCAAAATCTCATGGATTACCTCCTCAACAAGCACAATCACCTGCTCTTGTAAAGCTGGTTGTCTCCTTACATTCAAATGTAGTGTTAACTTGCTAATGGCACTGTGGGTCCACAGCTTCCTGGATTCCCACGGTTATGTGGGCCAGGAGTCACAGAGAGCTGGGTTAACCCCATATTCAGATGAATTATCTGTGCGAATGGGATAACCCAATCTGGAGATTAACTACAGTTAACACTGTGTGTGAATGGTGGCCATGCTGTTGTCTCAGGACTTCAACAGTCCACGAACATATTTTCCTGGAGCAGTTTGCTTTTGTTCTCGGCTTAGCAGGACCTTCAGATGCAGCGTACTGACAATGAGAGTGTGTGTGTGTGTGTGTGTGTGAGTGTGCTTGTCATTAAAATAAGGACGGGATTGTGTTCAGACCTTTACCAATGTGTTCACACCTTTAATCTATGCAGCCTGTGTATATGAATGAATGGAGCTTCATGTTATGATCAATACTGTACACTATGTGTGTCTATGCGTCCATTAAGCTGGTGGTCTGTGGGGGGCCAGATGGACGCCCTTTTGGGCCAGTCCATCTGCAGGTCACATGATGGTCCGTAAACCTCGGGATTAACCTCTGTGTGTGTGTGTGTGTGTGTGTGTTGAGGGGAGATTATTGTTCCTGCCAGGAGTGGAGCCTCCGGTCATCTGCCTGTTTTATTAACCACTCACATTCCACTAATCTAACATAATCCCTTTTCACACAATTAGGCTCAATTTTAGCTGTGAAAAAATGACAAAACATAAGAAAAAACTCAAAACTCAAAACACTGTTTGTGTTTCTGTGTGTGATGTTAAAATCAGGTCAGTGCAAAAAAAAAAAAAAAAAAAAAAAAAAAAAAAGCTTTCCACCAAACATTACTGGGCTAATTTGTTTACAAAGCCCTCATCCTCAATCTTCTTGAACTTTCAATGGGCTTTTTCCATTCACAGAAATACAACCTCAGTGTGTGTGTGTGTGTGTGTGTGTGTGTACCTGTGCCTGTGCCTCTTGCGTTCTTGGCCTGGACAGTGAGAACATGGAAGAGAGTCCACATCCCGCAAGGGTAACGTCTAAAGTGGGGTTGTGAACCCTGACAGCCCACCCACCTCACTCCTTCAGGCAAGGCAGTGTCTGGAGACTAAGAGAGAAAGAGAAAGACAAACAGACAAACACAAATTACTGACAACTGGGGAGCAGGAAACCAGGAGAAAAAGCTTCAAGAATCAATCTGGTGACATTCTATATGTTTCCCATGAAAAGACCAAAAACAACAATGAATTAATCCGACTAACAAGTACTATCTGTGTTACCGAAGCCTCAGATTACTTGGTCATCTGTATTATATAGAGCTGCAACTAATGATTATTTTACGGTCAATAAATCTGTTGATTTGTCTCTTGATTAATCAATTAGTTGTTTGCTCTATAAAATATCAGAAAATTGTTAAAAATGTCGATTTCCCAAAGAAGATGAGGTCCTGAAATGTCTTGTTTTGTCCACAACTCCAAGATATTCAGTTAATTGTCATAGAGGAGTAAAGAAACCAGAAAATATTCACATCTAAAAGCTGGAATCAGACTCAAAACGATTATCAAAATCATCATTCATTTAATAGAGGACGTTTGATCGATTAATCGTTGCAGTGTTCATTTGAGTCCATTGCTGACCAAAAACCATTAACGCCACACCGTTTCACTGACGTCTTCTTCTATTATGAGAAACATGACGACACGTACAAGAAGTCCTGGTTGGGAATCTTTAGAACAAATGCATGATTTAATCCTGTTTTAGTAATATTATCTGAAAAACTGTGATTCCCAGTTGTTTCAGGAAATTTTGGCTTTTAAAAAACAATTTGAAGTCTATGTACAGGACCCATTTTTATTAAATCCTCAGTGGGAGTGAATGTCTAAGTGCCATATTGATTAGGGAAGTTGGAAAGTACTGAGAGGAATTCTCATTTTGATGGTTTTGGACCTTTCATGGGATTTGTTGCCAATAAGAAAAATGTAGAATAAACCAGCCTTATCCTTTAAATGAAACTACAAAGTCTCCAGCATCTCCCAACCGGTTCAACTTAATGAAAGCTCTTCCACGTAGTTTTCTTGATCAATAAGAAGTCAATCTCAGGTTAATGGCTCAGCCCTCCACTAATGAACAGAAGCTATCCAGATCTCTAACCACGAGCCACAGTTGAATCCAATAACATATTTTCTCTGACATAAAGTCATTTCTCTCGATGCAATGCATTTCCAGCGCTGGTGTGATTGACAGGGTTACTCACATGTCAATAGTAAAGATTTGGTGTGTGTGTGTGTACAGAGTCCATTTCCTCTCAGTCTATTCATACCTTTCCATCAATTCATTGATCAATTGATTTGCCTGCTAAAAGCTAATGATGTAAGTAAGTGACTCTTTCAATTTGCGAGGGGCGGTACTGGAGGCATGCAGGCTTCATTCCAAAGACAACAGCACATAGATCCTCAGCTGTATGTGCTGGCACGGAGACAAGGACAAAGTACATATTGAGGAATCTGGATATTTTCAAAACACGTTTTTTTTTAATCTACTCACACTGTGGATTTTTATAGAAATTCCCAAGATCACATTTAAACATGTTTTGACTGGATAGGCATCACTTTGGTGCCTTTGAGGTGGTTTTGAACTGATTATGTGCCCAGACTGACAGGTGACCTTGATATCTTGGTGGAACTAAGAGGCTCCTCCGAGACGGACGTCCTCAAATCAGTCTGGGTGCATTTTGTGATGCCCTGCCCTCTGTTCTCCCTGCAGCTGCTCACCTGTCGGGTCCTTTCTTGTCTCCCTTCCTCTCCCTTTAAGATGCCTGTTCAGGCTCAAAAAACAATGCTCTTTTTCTCAATTTGCATTAATGTTCTTCCTCGATGCAGCATGTAATGGACAAATCTCTGAATCCAATGAATACCAAAGATTGAAGATGGACAAAAAAAGTTAGCCAAGAACAATTTGGATGGATAATAAAGAGGCCCAAGTTCATTGCAATATTGACGCATAAGGTGAAAACTTATTGGATATTTATCTCTAGGTCTGTCTTGACTCACCTGAGCTGTGTTATCCAGTATCTCTCTGAGTGCCTCATAGGAAATCTCATCGCCAGTCTGTAGCCGAGAGTTTAGAGACTCCAAAAGGTTCATCACCACTGGACGGCCTGGAAAGTACTGCAGACATAAAACAACAGAACACTCTGGTGTTAACGGTGTGCACTTTAAGACAGAGACAAAACTGTTGATTTTTGAGCAAACGGCATGCAAGAAAGAATGCAATTAACCATTATATTCTTCATAATATCGAAAAGATAATCAAAACAAATAATGTTTTGATTATCTCTTAGATATTAAGTCTATAAAATGTCAGGGAAATTATGAGAAATGCAAATTACATTTTCCCAAAAACCCCAACGTATTCAATTCACCATCATAGAAGACCCAGCATACATTCATATTAAAGAAGATTTCTGTCAATTAAATCATCAATTAATCAACTAACTGTTTTAGCTCTAAGTGCAGGTTTAGTTTATTGAGAAGTAACACAACTCCTGCACACAGTCAGTTACTTATATACACTAATGAATCTTCACTGATAAAGTAGTAGCTCAGAAAATGGAGCAGAAAGTCTGTCTTACAGCACATGGAAATCTAAATGCAAAACACTTTCCAGCACATGAAATGTAGACTGTGCTAATGTTTGTATCTTCTATTTATAAAAGTGTTGTTTCTCATGTGCTAACACCGATGCTCATACTTCTTAACGTTCAGACTCCTTTTACAAAAATAAACTGTTCAAATCAACATCTTCACCTTCGATTAACATAGTTTTTGTCCTTCTAATACACAATGTACCGAGCAGGAATCAGGAATCCTCAACCATGTTTATAAGCTGCACAGAAGTTGTGGTTGCGTGTTTTCCCTGAAAAAGAAACTCACTAAATGTGACAGCAGCCGAAGTTAAGCCTCTTCCTTCATTAAGATCCATTTCCTAAGCCACTAACAACCACTTAACCACCGTCTACTCAGCGCTTCCTCCTGATGTGCATTTACATCCTTTCAAACTAGCACCACCATGGTAACAAGCACAACTGGGAGGAAACATGACACTGTAACTGGCAGAGGTAGGCACATGAAGAGAAAGAGGAAATCCAGCTGATGGGTGTCTGATACCAGTGATGACAGAGTAAAGACAGACACAGACAAACGTGTCTTCACACACACGCTACTGACAATAGAAACAGCTGACGTCTTCAGGGAAGAGCGCTTTAATACATTTCAGCTAAATGTGCTTCCTATTCTTGCTGTAAGCCTCTCATTGGAAAAGTTTATGATAATGGTCCCGTTTCTCAGAAATAGACAGCATAGGGATCAAGCTTTTTCCCCAAGACTTAAACAGGCAAATAGACAACTTCCATGGGAACTTTCATTTAGCTCTGCAACTACAGTATTTTTACTAGCGATTGCTCTGTTTTTTTGATCGATCATTTTATCTATAAAGTCATTAAATAGTTCAAATTCTCGTTATAATACCCCAAAGCTCAAGGTGATGTCTTTTCCTGCCAGACAACAGTCCAAAGCAAAGATTTTTAGTTCACCATCAAATATGACGAAAAAAAGCATCACATCTTCACATCTGATTCAAGCAAAGGTTTGCTTAAAAAAAAAAAAAAAAATGAGTTGGATTGGATTATCAAATACATTTTCTGTCAACCGACCAACATTCACTGACTATTTGTTGCAGTTCTTTGTTTTGAAAGACTGAACAAGATAGAATCATCTCTCAACAATTTCTGTATTCATAGTTCTTGTCAAAGTGCACGCGGACTATAGATTACTACAAAGTTGTGGTGAATCTGAGGGAAAAAAACAAACAAGAAAAACAGAACGCAGATGACAGAGCCAGCTCGCGTCACCCAACATGTGGACCTTTTTTGATTTGCATCACTGAGTCGTTTTTAAATTGGACTCCACCATTTGTTCAACTAAATACGCTTACATACACCGACAATCTCACAAACACACGCACGCCTTTCAGTCAATGGCTCAGCCGTCTATTCATCACCCTCTAACAGGATCTTTGTGTTACACCCTGACCACTTAACCAGACCCCCAGTGATTTGCTTAAACCTCCTTGTCCAAAGCTAAGAGTCCTGCATCCTTCCCTCTGCACCAGAGCACTCTTGACTCCATGCAGCGCCTTTCACCTTTCGTCAACTTGGCCGACAGAAAACTGTGTTGCTGTGCGTAAACAGCTGACATTTAACATACTGGTTAATAATGGGACATTAACGTTTAAACTATACATTAGCAGCTGCGTTACATGACTTAGTAACACAGTCAATCGCAAGGATACTGGTCATTAGAAATAAATAAGACAAAAATATATGTATATTTAATAAATACCTACTGAACATTCATCATCTACTATGATTGCTTTCAATATCGTTTCAACAGCTCTCTCTCTCTGTGTGTGTGTGTGTGTGTGTGTGTGTGGACAAAGGCCTCTGATGTGTGCTCACTGCTGGGAGAGTGATATAACAGGTTTAAGTTTGGAGCTGGGGTCTGGATGCCACCCGGTCAGAAAAGCTCATTAAACAGCCATATGAATTTAACCAGAGAAAACGCAGGTGTTTCCCACTAATAGGTTTAAGTTAGCATCACCAAAGCAACACTATTCATGAGCTATTTGGGTCTGCTGATGGCCTAAAAGCTCAAATAATAGTTATATAATCAGACACTGGTCAGTATCATCTTGCTATGTTTTATCCTTGTACGCCTCTCTTTTTCTTAACCTCCCTCTTGGACTCCCTGGCCTTGATCATTGATGGTGCACAATGTCAGTCAATATGCCAATATATATTTCACCGACATGTTGATGAATTATGTGCCAAAAACAGTGACAGGCATTGAAGGAAGACGGGTTAAGTGACAGCATTCATTTTCAAGCGACGGTGGTAATTTAACAGACTTGCACTAAAAAAAAATGAAATGATAAAATATGTTATACCAAAAATAATGTCTGTTTTTCACATATAAGATTTATTTAAAGAACACTTTTCTCACTCCTGAGAAAACCCCCAGTGATTTGCTTAAACTCACTCTTAGAAACAGTGCAAGTGTTTAGTAATTAATTATGAGAGGCAATATGTTCTTTTTAGAGAATGTATCAACAAGCATCACAGTTGCACAAGAACAACAAATGAAACCCTGCTGGAAACAAGACACTCATCCAATAACATTTGATCAATTAAAAGATCAAATTCATTATTGGGAATACCGAGTGATCAAACTGTAAACCCTCTACATATTATCTCTACCAAATATCTCCCTCTACATTTGTTCTATCCATCTTGAAAACACACACATCATGCCCTCCTCTAACCCTGCATCCCTCCTGCCCCCATACCAGTTGGACCATGACAATCCCCTTCACCCCGGCAATATGTCATCCTGATCCGATTAGTATCAGCAGCACTTGAGAAACCGCAAGCTCCTTGTGGAGAGGGTCCCAAGAGGGAGGCATCTGTTGGCTGCAACAGGGCAGACCAAGCCAGGCGCGGGGCAAAAGACAGGGGTGAAGCTCCTTGATAATAATAATCTCACTTCAATTCACCCGGGGGAGCTGCAGACACGTGCCACAGCAATGCTAACAGCAGCCTCATCTCTACACACATGTACTTGTTTTGTACTGTTACTATGGGGAAAGTACAAAAGAAAACAGTTAAATGAATCCACTTATTTGAGAATTGCTTATTAAAACAGTAATAGGATCCATAATAACATGGACAAATGGCTTTAAGAAAAGCACAGAGCATCTTTAGTAATATAGGTACATTATATTTGAACATTATGTCCCGAGTTTATGCGTGCAAAGAATGAAGCCTGTGTCCCTTTAGTCCAAAGCCCCCCTCTTAATTCTTTGTTTTATTCCCCTGCCCCTCTGTCCCCTCTGGGCTGAAGGGCTTCTTTCAAGAAAAGCAGGATAGAGGTGTAATCCTTAAAAACCTCGCTGTAATGCTCTCATGCTTCCCAAGATCCACTTTTTTAATCCTAATATACATGTAGAGGCTTCATAAATCCGGCTTCGGCCTGACAAGACAGTAAATCTAGTAATATTATGACCGGGTCAAAAAAACAACAACCCCCATGTTTACATGTTTGGGTGGAGACGCAATGATGGGATGATTGTGGAAACAATTCAAGGAATTACAATTCTTGGACAGAACAGAGTCAAATATTTTTTTAGGTCAAGTAAAACCAATGAAGGAGATTAATACATTTCTATTTACACACAGACTGCGTGTCCTCACGATGTACATAAAGATTAGGCGTTTGACTGAATATTTATGTGCAACTATTTACATATTTAAGTAATTTTCAAGCAAAAATGCTTAAAATTAGATGGTTCCAGCTTCTTAACTATTTGCGTTTAGTCAGCCAAAAAAGCAATCTGAAGATGTTCAATTGCCATTTTCCATAATTTTCTGATTTTTTAGAGAATTATTGATCAATTAATCAAATAACTGTCTGTTTAACAATGAAAATATGAATTAGTTGCGGCCCCTACACCTGCATAACGGCAAGACCACACAATATCACCCATGCCAATACACCCCCTAATGTGCGCAAATGCTCTCTCCAGCGATTATCTGGTAAAAATTAAAAAGTGCGTCATGATTGAAGAAATGTGTCACCATCATGAAGTGACGACACTCACACTGGTCGGGACATTGCGAGTCACTTTCACTCTAATCTAATCACGCAGAGTTCAGGTGTCAGATCTTTACATTTTGCATCAGTAATCGAGAAGAGAGATCATTTCTCTATGAATCAACAGTTATTTGAAGATATAACTAAATAGAGAAAAAGACATTCAGGATTCTTTTAAGGTGAAAATACTTTTAATTTTCTCATATTCTGCATCATATGGAACATAATATAGAAATTAACTCATTAAATATGCGTTTGCTTTTCAAAATAAACGAAATCCCCTTCAATTCCGGTAGCACATCTGCAGTACGTGCTCGTCTTACATGAACTGTTCCTAACACGCTGACTGACTGAAAGGATTTGGCCTGTTTGAAGCGAGATCACTCAGTCAAATGACAATACGGACTGTCACAAGTCGCGGTCAGCTGCAACAATGACGGCCTCCTCAGCAACACAAAGCCCTGCTGAGCGGCTGGTCCATCATGGTGGGGGGACAGGGTAAAAATACCACTGGGACCTGCTGCTATTGACTAAACAAACTGGAGCTAATGCTCTAACCCCCCCCCACACACACGCACTGATACACACACGCTGCTATAACGCCTCCCTAGAGAGGGAGATATAATCACAGAGATTGGTGGCAGACTCGGGCTGTGAGACAGCCTGGTGCGTAGCCAAAAGGGACAGGGCTAGCAGGTCAGGCCTCATCATCACAACATGTTTGCCTGGCTGGCACACTTCAGCGAGGAAAAGAGGGAACGAGGCAGAAGGGGATCGCTAACGGGAAAAGATGGATTGAACATGGTTGTTTTGGTGAACCTCAGAGGACTGGCACGTTCACAATTATCTAAAGAGATGCCTGTGTGAAACCACACAGGAAAACTGCATGAGGAGGAAGAGGAAGAGTGGTGGCTGTGTTTGTGTAAAGCCTCTGGGCAGCGAGTGGGTGGCAGCCACGCTTCAATCCCCCTGGGAGCAAACATGAAGAGGGTCAACAATACCCGAGAGAGCGTTTGTGCTCTCGTCAATGGCATCCACTTCTGCTGCCAATAATGTGTGTAAGTGTGTGTGTTGTGTGTGGTGAAAAGCAGTACATCAAACAAAACAATTAATTGGGTAAATTAGCTAAATGATCGAATGGATCGAAAGGAATAAAAAAAAAAAAAAACATGTTCTTAAAAGGGGGACTTGAGCTAAATGCTGCAAAAACAACAGCTCAACTCTACAATGTGATCAAACATTCTCCTGTCTCACTCTCCATCTGGTGGTGACCTGCTGTAACTACACATTTGTAAAACGAGCTCGTCTTTTTTGTTTTCTGAATAATTTCCAGACAATTCCCTGATTTGTTTTAATAGAAACCAATCAGTTTAAAACTGATGTCATGTCCCTATGAATACAAAAGGTGTTGTCATAGTTTACAGTGAACAATACTCTGTCCCCTGGTGACGAGGACCGCTAAGAAAATGTACGAGCAGCTTATTTTGAGTTTTTCTCAAAGAAAAAACAATGAAATAATCAAATACAGCATGTTTGTACGGCAAGTTTTATTTATTCTAATCAGATATTTTACCTGGATTTTGTGTTAATGATGTGGTTAACCAATTTTCACCAGTTTTCCATCTTTCTAATATTTAAAACAAACACTGAAAATCTAAATATTATAGAATAATGAGCTGTATATCATTTGGTTTTCACATTTCGTGTGTCTTGTGTGTGTGTGCTATATGTGTGTACGCAGCGGTCTCTCTATTAAGTTTACCTTTGCCAGGACAGAGATGTACTTCTTGAGAGAAGTCAGGGCCTCTCCTTTGATGACAGTGTGAGCAGCCAGCTCCACACGCAGGGAGTAGTGCAGCGTGGACTCCAGGTCGGCCATGTACACCCTGGACCTGGACACACAATCACACACCTCATGTCAACAAGTCATAAGTTTGAGCAGACAGAGCAGCATGTATCGTTCATACCTGTTGAAGGGTTTCCAGGGCTCTTGTGTGTTCTTGGTGAGGACGTCTACGGTGACCGGTTGAGGCTTCCCCGACCGCGCCACTCCCGGCAGCCTCTGGAGGGCGTAAGAGTAGAAAGTACGAGCCTCAATGTTGCTGAGGGAGAGAAGGACAGGTGAGACTGACCCTTAGGTCACTCAACATAAACTTCATGCACAAAAGTATGCGGACACACCCCTCTCTTGCTTTCAACATGATGATCATCCCATGCACAAAGAGAGCTCCATCAAGACATGTTTCTCCGGTTTGCTGTGAAAGAATTTAAACCATCCAACACCTTTGAAGCGCGAACTAAAACGCCGACTGCAAGTCAGACCTTATCACCCAAAATCAGTGGTCGAGCACACTAATGCTCTTATGGCTGAATGGGAGCAAATCTCTGCAGCCAGGTTTCAAAATATTGTATAAAAGCTTTCATGGAGAAGTGGAAGCTGTTACAGCAGATTCTTAATGCCCATCATTTTGGAATGAAATATTAGACAATCACATATAGGTGTACGGTTTGGCTGTTCACACACTTCTGGCCATATAGTTTACATGTACACCAGTTTGTACAGCCATGTAAAAACGCATTTTTTTAATTTATTTATTTTTTCTCTTGACCTTTTGTTTCAGCAGTCCACTGCTATAAAAAGTTTTATTTCCTGTATTTATTTTTGTGGCCATATATTTTACACACTTACGGGAACGCATTTAAATACTGAACAGATGGTGCCAGAGTAGCGTGGAGCTGAGAGAGAGATCGCTGATCATTTAGCCATGTGATAACCCTGCAACCGCAGCCATTAATGTGCTCCCTCTCTCTCACATCCTCCTCTCATTTGCTTTCTCCTCTTGTCAGGGTCTCTCTCTCTCTCACAGAGAGAGAGAGAGAGAGAGAGAGAGAGAGAGAGAGAGAGAGAGAGAGAGAGAGAGAGAGAGAGAGAGAGAGAGAGAGAGAGAACAGGATGGTAATAAGGAGGATGGATACTCTGTGCCCACGCTCACTCACACCAGCCAGGGACTCAATTACACCTGCGTGTCTGGTGGGAGTGTACAGATGTGGAGGGAGAGCCATTCATCCAGCGATCCCCAGGGCCGGCGGGCAGGAAGGCATCAGGGTGGGCTGGGAGGGAATGCATTCACCTGGGACCAGCACACATTACATGCATGACGGATGTGAGACGCCCCTGCACACACACACAAACAAACACACACACACACACACACACACACACACACACACACGCGCAGACAGGCACACTCCGCTCTCCCAGGATCAATCAGACATTCAGTGATGATGGGAGGCCATCTGTCGCCGGGTGCGGCTGGGGCTTGTTTGGCAGGTGAAGCCAGAAAAGCAATGGCATTGTTTTCATGCAAGAAATTAAAAAACCTCCCCTCTGTACAGTGATGGAGATGAGGGGGGCTGGAAGGGGAGAGATGAGAGGGGGGGTGAATAAATAAATCAGCAATAAATCATTTCCTTTTTGCATTTGTCAACTAAAAAGAGTCCTCTTTGCATGCCAAGTTATTGAAACAGCCAAACAAAGAGGGAGAAACAGCAGATGAATTTGCAGGGTGAGGAATGATCAGCGCTGCTTTATGATGGTGAATAATGGGAACGATTTTGATGCTCTGATCCCATTAAGAGGCCAGATGTTTAAAAGTATTCTCATGAATAGGGTTCAGATAATGAGCACACGATGAAGGTTTACGGCAGAAAGCAAAGTCGTGGCGTGAAGAACAATAGGAACCAAAGGGAAATAAACACGGTGTTGGTGGATTTCAGATCCAGCCAAATGGAAATTACTGTAAAAAGTTTGAGATGCTATCAAGATATGTATAAAATGATCAATACGTACAGAACATACAAGATGTATATAAAAGCAGCTCATGCTCGACACCTTTCCCACATCACATCCACCCAAATGAAATCTGTTCCAGCATCTCTTTGGCTCACTGGTGTATCTATTTTGAATTCTTCTAATGAGGATGGGGAAATATTATTTCTTGAACCTACATCAAGTGATGACCTTTCTTCAGGTTAAAGTTACTGTTGAAAATCTAGTAGTTAAAGCTCTGGGTTCCATTTATAAATGCAGCCTTTTGCACTGACAAATCATGTGGATAGAAAACACATTCAGAATGGTAACAAGGTTTTTTTACAGTTTCAACAAAGAACTGTCTTGCACTTCACAGACAACCATAGGCAAATATGGACGTTCTTAGGTCCTGCTGAGTGCATCGTTACATCCTGTAGGAGGTGGCGCTTGTTGTTGTTGTTGAGCCCATTACAGTTTGACACAACCACAATCTGGCCTCCTCTATTTGCATGTTTACATAGAGGGTTTGTCTGCTTTAGGGCTGTCACAAGACAGTTATTGTGGAAAGAACCAACCATCTGTTTTAAAGTATCTAATGTAAATAAAAAGTTGAACAAGTAAGGCATATCCATGGTTACAGATGTTTAGGTTATGTGTCCTAAAGTTTTCTGGTTTATTATAATATGCTTTACACTGAAGGGCTGGAAACAATCTTAATTATCCCGTCTTTGTAATTTGTCTATGAGAGACCTACCAGACACTGGGTGTGTTTGTAAAAGCCTTCATGAACCGGTGTAAAAAAAATCCTTATTATCATTCGGGATACATGATACATATATAATGAAACGCAGAAAACAATATATTATCATCATCATCTACACAATGCATTATATCTATTTGTGCATGCTGATAAACAATTGTCAGGAAGATAATACTCCAATTATAAATTGCACAGCACTCTGTAGTGCAGTGGGAGTTAAAGACTGCACAGATACTCACACTTGGAGTCTGGTGAAGTTGCCTTCAGGAGAGTAAAGGTAGCAGGAGGGAAACTCAGTCACTCCCAGTTTGGTTACCAGACCTTCCTCAGTGCTCAGGACTCTCCGCACCGCGACATTCTCAAACTGCAACAGGTCCAGGGTTACCTGAAGAACAGAGAACACACAGAGAGTTTTAAAAAAAGATTTGAATCATGTTAAATTTCAACATGACACCCATGTGATGTCCAATCATTTCAACAGCTTATTTTGACCACAAATTGTGTCTTATTGGCTGAAGTTAGACATACATAGTTGGAGAGAAACTTTATGCACGTCTCTTCTGCTGCCCGGAAAAAAAAATGATATTCTAGAGGAGAAAGAAACACACAGCTCAGGTTGATGGAAACATGAGCCGTTACCTCTCGGCCGATGTAGGATTTAGTGTTCTCAAAGATCAGGGCCAGGTGTTGAACGTTGTTGGTCTCAAAGAAGCTGTCGATCTCCGCTTGGCTGGTGAGAGAGAGAGATGAGCAGACAAAACGTAAGATTGGAATCCCAGGTACGAGTTATGCTAAGCCGGGAAGAAACGGCAAACATCACCGATAAATCTTCGGGATCAGCTACTGATCAAAAAGAAGGATTGAAGTAAGTCCAGGATTTTATAGACGTATTTCATCATAAAGAAAGAAAAAAGGGAAAATTCTGACATTAAATTGAGAAGACTTTATTTAATTTGGGTAGGAGTTTTACAAATGTTTGAGTAGCCTTTGATGTCCTTCATCCCCAACAAGACTATTTTTTTCTGAACGCCATCCACGCCTACAATCATAAACATTAAAACTACATTTATATCTGGTTTCAATTATGTTATTACCACAACATAATTACATACTTCATACGTAAACACTTGAGAAAAGCTGTGAAGCAGGAAAGCACAAGGGTTCAAATCCACTTATTTTCTTTGTAAAAAAAGAAAAAGGGGGAAGAAGAAAACCTCATGACTCTGTGACGAGCTATGCTACTTTCCCTTTAAACCTAAAAAGAGAAATGAACTTGACTTCCTGCACTACCATGGTAATAAACTGGGTGTAATGCCTGTGTGTGAATACATACACACAACACAAGGCAGTATGTGGGCAGAGCAGGGAGGCCAAGTAGAGAAGATCTAAAGAAGACCTTTCTTCTTAGTGGAAACATTTGATCCCTCATTCTGCCACTAATAAAAAACAGTGCAGCAGCCAATGATGACATAGAATAAAATGATGCAACATGATGAAGATATGATCCTACAGCAAGACAGCGATCACAAGACTGCAACAAAGGATAGAAGAAATAATGTACGTAGGTAAATATGGAAATAGAATTCACAAAACTGTGGGAAAACAGCAGTTCAGCACATAGAAGTGTGAGATAGGAGGGTGTTGGATAGAATATGGGACTTGTTTGCATTAAATCCTTCCTCACAATGCATGGAACTAGTTTTTAAAAAATATTATCATTTGCAGCTTTCTTATAGACCACACATTTGCAAAAACATTACTAACATATTGTAAAATATAGTTACACATATTTTCTTCATCAAAATAAACCAGAAGTGCATGTCATCAGTAGCGAGGACAGATTAATAAGTGAGTGATTGACAGATGGATTAACATTTGAAAATTGGGTATGCGAGTGTGTGCATGTGTGTGTTTACCTTGTGGGCTCCAGTGGGGGGCAGGCGGGGGGCCACGGCTCCTCATGGTTTTCCAGTTTGTCTATGATCTTGTGACGGAGGACCCGGACATCATGAGTAGAAGCTGGAGGTCAAAGGGCATCAAGAGAACATTATACTCAGTTGTTGATTATCATTCACTCATGACGACCTGAGCATGTAAAACTACTGCAAACGGCAGCTTCTCTATGAAACAATTGTGTTTTTCACTGGCTCGAGTTGCTTGTGTGTGCGTAGTAGTACCTTTAAAAGCCTGTCCTTTAGAATCAGCCTTGGAATAAGCATGGAAGAACTGCAAAGTGAAAGAGACAGAAGGTTCAGGTTACGGAGGAAGTCAGTGAAGGGAAAGAGAGAAGTGAGATCAGATGAGACGGCCATGAGAGAAGCAAAGCGATGTTGTGTAATGTTCGGTGGGGGGTGGGGGGGGCGAGGGCTGCTTTTCCCTCTGCCCGCCTTGACCCCTAAATCCTTCCTGGTTAAAATGAGTCACAGATGTTTAAGCTCCATTGTGTGTTCGAACAGAGGGAGCTCTTTGACTCATTGGCTCTTGCTGGATGACAGATAGGAGAGATTCTGAAACACACACACTACTGCTGACTAATCCGGTACACTACGAATACTAATGCAGATGTTTGAGGTTTCTGCAGTGTTCATGCATAAGTTCTCTCCACTGGGGCTAGACTGTTGCATCTATAGTATCCAAGTATCGAAGTAATAAAAACACACTAATGCATAGAGTATGGTTGCTTAAGGATGAAAAGTAAAACTCTTGAATTGACTCTGGTTTATCAAATACCTTTGTAAAGTTCCTGTGAATACATCTTTTGTTTCCACACATGCGTCGGCACATTATGCTCTACATGCTAATCAAAATCAAACATAGCATGCGAGTGTCGAATAAAGGCAGCTGCCAGGCATGTTCGAGGAAAACTGTGAACATTCCTGAATTCATGGTCACTTTCAGAACATGTACTGGAGTTGAATGGAAGTGAAGGGACTAGAAATAGTTTTTGTGTGACGTCTGGTGTGCTACTGCAAAATAGAGACCAGCGGAAAAATAGGTGGAGTTGTTTCTGATGTATTCTTTTATTCAAGTCATGCAGTGAAGGAAAAAAAAAAAAAAATGTATGTAGAATAAGGTCTGTTAAAAGTTTTCCTTCAAGCGCACCTGCTTCTCTCTCTTTTTTTAATTAAGGAAAAACAAACAGTCCCTCATCAAATTAGGGCTACAACTTGTTTTTTTAAAATTTATCTTATCAATTAGTTTGCCAGTATGTGGGCCTGTGTAAACAGTTTACATTCCGTATAATGTAATATATTAGTTTATATTCTGTAGAATACCTTGATAGTGGGATACTCTCTGATGCCGTAGGCAGTGCAGACCTTCCTGTTCTCTTCTGCAGCACAGTCCACAGCTGCCAGGTCCACAGCTGGCTTCCACTCTGAAGAACAGACATGAAATAGAGCCACAGTAAATATTTAGTTTACCGTCTATTGCACCCCTACGGTCTGCTGACACTGGATGGGGTCCTGTGTTGTCCTCCTGCCAATGTGTATTTCAGTATATAAATACCTAAAATGTCCATACGGTCAAGAAAAAAACCTATATAGAGTATTCACATGACTATGTATTTGTGAAAGAGGGCAACGCAAACTCATTACACAAAGACACACTGGTGGGCCCCAAGCAGACAGTTTATATCTCGTTATCAACATGTAATGTGTATAATGTAGCCGACAGACACCCACAGATTGAGGGTGCCAGTGACATCATCTGCATGTAATCCTAATTTCTCCTGCATTCTCCTCAAATATCAGATGGATGACCCCACTAATTCCAAAGCAAAAGCATTTGACAGCATGCCAAGACACCAGTTGCCATTGTTGACTGTGTGTGTGTGTGTGTGTGTGTGTGTGCGTGTGTGTGTGTGCGTGTGTGAGAGAGAAACGGAAACACACCATGACTGTGTCAGGCCTCCTGCCACCGTTATAAAAACGATATCATCCCAATTATATTTCTTATCATGGCTCTGTGATATTTGTTCGGCTCATGAGCTACAATGACAAACTCAGTAGGGAGGATGTAATGGACAGCCAGTGTAAAAAAAGAAGACAGTCATTAGATCACATGCTCTAATTAACAGATATAAGCAACAGCTTGGTGCTCTCACTGTGCACGTGCACATGCACATGAGAAACAATACAGGGAGATGTAACCAAGCTGTGAGACTTTTTGCTGGTTTGTCATGTGGATAAAACGAGCTGTGGAAGTGTTTACAAAAACAATGAAGAGTGAAATAGGATCACAACGATTCTACTGGAAGAATACTAATCAAATCTCATTGCAAACAGCTGCAGCTACGTGACTTGCAGCAGATCCGCATACCAACCTTTAATGTCTCTCGCCAGACTTGTGTAAACCGGAGAAAAGGCAATGCAGTGTCCGCACCACGAAGCGTAAAATTCCGCAAATACAGCTGCTGTGGAGTTGATCAAAACCGACTCCACGTTCTCCGGACTCAACAAGATGACTTGATCAGAAGCGGTATACAGTCCAGCCTCCGTGGGGGAAGGGAAAAGCAGACAGAAACATAACCAAACTGCGGATGTTGTAATCTTTCTGGCATATGTGCGTATTTCTCCGGTAAACCGAGACGTGGCACAGCCGACGCGCCGCGCCATATTCCCCCGTCCGAGTTGCAAACGCACCAAGTTTTCAACCTCCATGTCTCAAAACTTGACACAACTTTTCTCCCTCACTTTTCGTGTTGGTCAGCGGGCTTCATGGTTCCTCCCCCGAGTCCTTTTAAAAACACACCTCAAGTAACTAACACACCCGCTCCACAGTCACTCGTGTCGCTATTTGACGTCTGACGTGAAGATGAAACCTTGATACCAGGAAATTCATACAGGAAATAACCTTTAATGACTATTAATAGTAATTAGACTTGCATTGTTTTGCATTACGCATACATGGCCAATAAAGCTGATTCTGATTATATGTTTATTATTGACATTCACAATGAGTTAAATAAACAAATAACTTAATTCAAGGACAACTTTTTGTTTGGGGTTTCTAAAAGGTATCGCACGACCTTCCTCAGTGGATGGAGTTATCTTCTTGACAACAGGTGTGTGTGTGTGTGTGTGTGTCAAAATAAAAGCTTTTAGTTTAGTAAAATCACAATTGTTGGCCTTATAAATTACTTGTAGATGAAAAAGAATTAATCGTGTCTCTTAATTTTTGGCAAAATGTAAGGCTGTCTAACAAAATTTGTGTCTTTATCTTTGTGTCAAAAGACCTGTCAATCAGACATCTATTATAATAGAATAAATATTTTCTCAGCAACCATGTTATAGTAGTTTTTTGTAACATGTGTATGTAATTGGGATGTCACATTATCAAAGTTTTGCAATACCACAACCGTGACCAAAATAATTCATCTTTAACTTTGTTAATTGTGTGTTTTGTCTCATTTCGACCAAAGATTTACACTCAAAATACAAGTGTAGTGCAGTGGAGAGTCTAACCATAGCCCTATATACAGTATATAATGACAATATTATCGTGTGAATTATTAACATGATAAATATATAATTTTTATATATCCCAGTTATCAGTACATCGCGACACTTAGTGTTTAATCATAGGATGTAAACTCCTGTCGTGATGTCGTGTAACTCCCACATTCCCATAAATGACACAGTGGACATGACACTAACCAAAACCACCACATTTCAGGTCACAATTCCTTTAGAAACAATGGAAGCTTTATTTACAATTTCAAAGGTCATTTAGTTAACAAATATATATTTTGCACATATCTGCAAAGTATACAGTGTTTATCTTACAACAATCATTACAGGTTACAGTAACAGTGGGTCAGATAGGACAGACAGAATATTTACACCCATAAAAGAATTGTACAAGTCTTCAAGTGCACATTGGCGCACACTCGCAGCACATTATAAATATTCATCAACATTTTAAAAGGGGAAGTCAGAAATCTAGTCTAACTGGGATATTTTGATAATCAGATCTTTTGTGCCTAGTTTTTTTTATTCAGTCATTCATATCGATCTCCATTAAAAGGAGAAGTTGCTCCACCTCCCCGTGAAGAAGACAGACCCCCGACGAGCAGATAGAAGCAACTCCATCCCACGCCGAAGAGCTGCAGGCTTCTCGACCGTTTCATTCATCGACAGACTCGGCAGAAGTCTAAGCCGTTCGGTCCATACGTATATGAAGCGATGTTTAAGACCAAGTACTGCATAGTTACAGAGGGGATCTTAACTGCCTCCCACATACAATCAATTCAAGAGGACAATCCTAGAGGGGTTTGCACTAAAGGCTTGCTGAGAGTGCTTCTGAAGTACTAATTATGTCACCATCACAGTTACATATGCCTGAAGCCCAGACATACAATTCATACAGCATGGATACATTGGTGTCAATGTTTTGGTCTTTTTCTACATTATAGAATTTACAGTTTGAGCATACATCGCAGCAACTCTTTAAACACGAAAGAAAGACTCAGTTTAAGGTCACTTTAGCTTCAAACAGTCGGTGAAGACTAAACGCTCCGTCACAATGAGTTTGTACAGTTTGTTGGATTAAAGCAGCGCTGACAGTGAGGACTACAATAAGTCCTACGTGCTCACTCTCACCAGCTCGATAACTCACATATTGTAGGTAGGTGTGTGGAGTGTCAATAATCTAGTTCCCGATACACTTTATCAATAACATGACTCAACTGTGTATATATGCACAGATGCCGGGGGCGACACGGACAGATAACATTTGGAGTGAGTCAGCGATTCTGTTAGCACAAACATTTCCTCAGGCTGAGCACAGACAGACTGAGAAGGTTTGAACAATTTTCTCAACTACGCTTCAATACAGAAAGATTGATCAGGCAGAAACCGAAGTATTGGCAAACCGGTTAGAAGGGAAGAGCGGCCACTTAAGGATCATTTACAAAAAGGTAGTATTACAGCAGTCGAAAGAGACATTCAAAGAAAATAGGTCCAAAGGGTGTTGAGACATCAACAGAGTTTGTTATAAATCTACAACTCAAGAGGCACTTAAACCGGATGTTGAGAAAGACTACCTCTTGTTGTCTGACGACATCGCCGGGCTACATTCTGAAGGCTTGAACTCGCCGACGGCTGTAAAGCCAAATCTTTCACAGCAGATTAAAACCATGCTTCTACACAACCCAATGTGTTTTTGGGGCAAATGTTCAGCTGGCAACCTTTACACGGGCAACTGATAAAGAAACAGGACAACCGCATGCGTTATCTCAGGTCATAGAAAGAAAATCGACTGTAGGAAAAGTAAGGCTTAAATCCAGCATTTCAGGTCTGTCCTGCGATTCTGCTTTTGTGTCCCACATGCATACTATATACTCATTCTGTGTTTTGTGTACGTGGTGTGTTTAAAACAAATGAAATCTATAAAATACCAGCTTTGATGCTTACTCAAAAACAATGTTGAATGGGGCGCAAAAGCTTCAGTTAGAGGACAGAAAAATAGGCTTGCTGGTTGTATGAGATGTTTTCAAACTGTTAACACGCATCCACGGTGTATATGTAGTACAAAAGGGGGACAACTGGACAGTGGTGGCCACAATAGAAGTCATACAGGACACTTCCAATGAGTCCTTAACACTACAACGTTGCAACACTAAAACAGTTTTCTCCCCATGTTCTTTTTCTCGTTTCAATTGCATTCTTCAAACCTCCTACGTAATATATTGCTGTGTTCGCGTTTCTTTTTGTGCTTTTTACAATTTCATTAAATGTTAAAATCTGTTCTCTATATGTCGACTAGATCATTTACAGTTCAAAATGTTCCTTACTCCTCTAATCAAACATTCTCACGCAATAAATAATATAATTATGGAGGCAAAATGTTTCATACAATATCGGATCTCAGTGACACTCCAATACAGCGCAGTCTGACTATATTTGATCTGTGACACTCTCCTCCAGCCCACTAGATTTAAAATCCAACAATGATTATGAAGTTAAAGTGCTGACTCTCAGCTTGTAATCTATACATAGCACCACAATGTAAAGCGAATGCAGCAGCACAATGATGCAAAACATACACCCAAAGCAACCAAAGGGGTTTCAGGGCCAAACGGTGACTGGCTGAGTCAGTCACATCTGATGACCAGATGAGTGAATGGTCTGTGGGTCAACACTTCAGACAGTTTGTTTTCTTTAATTTAAGGCAAGCTTACAAACCCCTTATATGGAGGTCTGATTGTTAAATTTCATTGTTAGATTTCAATGAACTGGATTACAAAGCCAACCCGATAATGTGTCACTGTCACTTATGGACTACGCTGTATGTTCTTTATCTGCTACTCTATTACAATGTTTGAATCCATACATATATTTACTTTAAGATTCAATACAACATAGGACAACTTACTCGTGTTCCAGGTGGATTTTAAAATTACAACCCCCTGTGGAACGATCAATTTAGCAGCATTCATGGACTTTAAGTGCGAACAAACTTGCGCAGTCTATCCCATCGAAAAAAAACACCTACTCATTCTCCAACTGGCGTTTACAAAAGGACCAGTCCAGGAGGTGAGAAGTGAGACTAGGTGGCGTTAAGGTTTAAGAAGGCTGGATTGCTCAAGAGGGGTTTTGTGTGTAGAACAAATCATACAACCGCGACGGGTAGCTGAAGCAAAACTCAGCAAGTTAATGTCACAGAAATAAGTCGGAGTAGTTTAGCTGAGAGGTAATGCTGGGACTGAAGGCATCTGAGGGTTGCTGTTGGCACATCAGCTGGTGGAAGACTGAGCGGTGGGACATTGGCTGGAGGTCATTGGGGGGGGGGGGGGGGGGGG